AAACCCTCCTCCGGGTGGATTCCAGAATTATGCCCTTCTTATTGTGTTCTTCGTTGGGGATTTCAACAGGGCGTAATTCAACGATGACACACAGCAGATGTCATCGTTATAACACTGGCGACGCTAAGTCCGTCGTCATAATAAAAATATTATGCAAAAGTGGCATCGCAAGTACAACAGCAAAGCTATGAAAATGTTGTAGAAGTCTGAATAAAATTAGTGGTCATAATTTGGAAGAGTGGGAGGAGGTACGAGGTCTTGCTTACTTTTGGGTGATGCAATGGTTATTGAGGAAATGGCAGACATCAATAACGCCACTATCGAGCGTCATCAAAACAAAGCCACGGAACATACCACCGATCCTTTCAGTTGTGACCTCAGTATTTTTTGAAGTGCCTAATTTAAAAGAGATCACCTTCTGTGAATGTTGGTTTCAGCCGAGCCACAATAATTCTCGGTATTTTTGGCGTTGTGCCAAGTTATATTCATGCATTTCGCAATAGGCGACGAAACGAACTAGTTAATTTCTTAAACGCAAATATTATCTTCGGTAACCTCAATGCCTACCTGGTATCCTCATCATCAGCGTTGTTCTTCCCTGTCGCTGAAACTTTGATTTTGGTCCCATTTAAGATGTGTGGCTGGGCAGCAAACATCTTCTTTGCCGACTGCGGTTCATGGAAAACGACGACGCCATGGCGGGCAGAACTACGCCCCTTCTTCTTCTTCTTCTTCTTCTTCTTCTTCTTCTTCCGAACGGACACCTCCGTGATAACGCCAAGTCTGGAGGAATAATCGAATAAATCGCAGTCTTCTGTTTTTGCAGGCAATTTGGTAACAAGGATGCGCTTAGAATGCAAACTCTCCTCCCGAGAATTTCCACATCTGCGTCAAAAACAGAAAATTAGTGTGCAGTGTTAGTGTGCAGTGTTAGTGTGAATCGTCTTCGTCTCTTATAAATCAAAGGACGGGGACCTAAAACACGACCCCACTGACCAAAAGGAAGCCATTGAGTAAGTTTTTATATATATATATAAATTATATTATTTTATAGGGTGTAAAACATAGGGT